TATTCCTATCAAACCTGATCAAGAGGTCAGGCTTACCATCAGAGCCAGTAACACTCTCAATATTAAATACAGGAGTATCAGAATCCATCAATACACGCAATATAACATAACGAGCCTGCATGTGAGCCTATGAGTGGTGGGTGGAACAACATTATATATATTATAATGACATTATCAGTAAAGTACTTGTCTCCATTTCTTTGTTTCAGGTGTATAAAACTCTAATGCTATAAGTCCTGCCCTCAACATGCTCAACCAATTCACATACATTATGTCTTCAGCTTCAGCTCCTTCATAACCAAATATACTAGAAATAGGCGGAGCATGATGATATAGACCACACCCATACTTACCGCAATATATTCCTGTCAGTGGAGAGGTATATACCAACACATTCTGCTCTACATTCTTCATAAGTTGATGCTATTGTACTAAACTGTGTATCCCATGTCTCTCCTGGATTATACCAACTGCTTATCTAACACAAGTGTAGGAGACATATGCAATTAGAGTTATATAATTACGTATGTAAATAATATATGAAGTGTCAAGACTAAAGGCTGTCAAACAACAATACTGTACATGTACATGACTGAAGCCTGCTTAAGCAGTTAGTTGTAAGTTTGATTTCACTAAAAAATGTGTGTACAACAATCCAATCAAATTTAACTGGTGAGTCTGCACCCATGTCGTGTATGCTATAAATAAACTTATAGCTGAGCGGTACTGTATACATCAAATGTTATTTTTGCTGTAATGAAAACCAGGAAAAGAATAACATTTGATATATTACTTACATTTGATATATTGTACATACTCACAACTTTGAAGACAAGGTACAACAATTTAACAAATTCCTTACAGTGGAAGTTACAAAGTTGTGACTGCATATGTAAGTAATACAGTAGACTGTATATCAAAATGTTATTCTTATGATCTTATCACTAAAGCCTGGTTTATACTCCTATAAAATGTGATGCAGAATTAAAATTTGATCAATTTTTCATCAACTTCAATGCGTTATTTGCATCAAAAAGTCAGATCACCCACATAGATTATGCTTTTACATGGACTGTAAACCAGGCTTTATAGTATAATGTGTAAGACTGCGAGCCCAACCTTATCTCCAGTCAAAGGATTGATAACTTTATCTTGTTCAAAGTTAAAGACTCCATTCTTATCCTATTATAGACTCATACCATCAACTATAACAATGAATTAATGAGACTTACCTTACTGAACAGTTTCCCTGATCTGTGTCCTAATAGTTCATGCAATCCAACCTGCACTTCAAATGCTTTACCTCTCAAATCAGTAAAATCACCCTATCAAAACAGTGCAATTATACAAGTCTGCCTATAAATACATTTATCAGTTACAATCATTCTCCAAGCATGCTATAAGCATGCTAAGAATGGTGTACTATAACAACCAGAGAATGACCAATAGGACAGGAAAGGACATACAGGAGGAGACAGTAGTTGCAACTCTGCATGATTTCTTTAGTGCTATAGTTATGTAAATTCACCTGATCCTCTGTAGTAGTAAGGAATGTGACCCTCTTATCCTGTGAGGCAGCTGACAATACATTACCCAAAGACACATTCTTAAATCCTTCATTCTGTCTTATCTCATCATCTAACGTAAGGATCATAACCACACCCTAACCACACCCACTCACAGTTAGGTATATTGATGCCAGCTGGTATTCCACTGGAGGCAAACGACACAACATCAAGTGAAGTAAAGTCTGGACGTAGGAATTTGTCCTTTTCAAACTCCACCCCCCAAGGGAGGAGAGGGAGGAACTCTTGAGCTGAGTCCACCAGTTGTGAGAATTTAGAACTCATTGACTTATTAACAACAGCAACAAACCCTAGAACAGATAAAGCATGACTGAGAGGAAGGAGTATTACTATTAACAAGAGTACATAATACAAACATTATTTATTAAATTACAGTGATATTCCCTGTTCTGTATACAATGAACAGGCTGCAATGTTCACAAACACACACTATAATGCTGGCTTCTTTGTTAAAATACCAAACAGTTAGTTTATTTATGAATTACAAAAGTAAACATCAACACATAAAAAGCTACATGCTGTACTCACATAATTACGTAATTACACGATACATGTAGTTTACTATCCTAATAGTTTCGCTATTGGGATAGCAATTGAGGCAAATATCATGACAGTCATTTTCTCACTATTTTTCAGCTCTAATATACTATATACCTTCATATTCTCCTCTTAATCCAAATGGATCACGATAACTCTCAATGAATCCAATATACCTAGTCACACCAAATCATCATCACATCATCATGTACTTATGTTTCAACAACTGGTCCTTTATCTTTAATCCAATAACGAGATGCATCTTCATGATCAGGTACTGACCCTCTACTAAAACTAGACACATATCTATCAATCATATCCTTCTGCTTCCTGTTAGCATCTTCATGATCAGGTACTGACCCTCTACTAAAACTAGACACATATCTATCAATCATATCCTTCTGCTTCCTGTTAGCAACGTGATGAGCAGCTGCCTCCAGTTCATCACTCATCCTCTTCATTAGTGTATGATAGTCTCCTCTTGATATCTTAATGGAGACAGTAGAGCTGGTTCTAGGGGAAGGGAACTGATGGAGTCCAAGTAATGATGACACTTTATCATTTGGACTAGGAGGAGTATCTGAGAGAAAGAGGAGA